ATTTGCCATGAAATGATGGGACCAGATACCATGATCTTAGTTTTCTGTATGTTGAGTTTTAAGCCAACTTTTTCACTCTCCTCTTTCACTTTCATCAAGAGGCTGTTTAGTTCTTCTTCACTTTCTGCCATTAGGGTGGTGTCATCTGCATATCTGAGGTTATTGATCTTTCTCCTAGCAACCTTGATTCCAGCTTGTGCTTCATCCAGCCCAGTGTTTCTCTTGATGTACTCTGCATATAAGTTAAATAAGCAGGCTGACAATATACAGCCTTGATATACTCCTTTCCTGATTTGGAACCAGTCTGTTGTTCCATGTCCAGTTCTAACTGTTGCTTCTTGACCTGCATACAGATTTCTCAGGAGGCAGGTCAGGTGGTCTGATATCCCCATCTCTTGAAGAATTTTTCACAGTTTGTTGTGATCTACACAGAGAAAGTCTTTGGTGTAGTCAATAATGCAGAAATATATGTCCAGCCCCATCAGTTCATGGCAAATAGATGGGGAAACAATGGAAACAGTGATAGACTTTATTTTCTTGTGCTCCAAAATCACTGCAGATGGTGACTGCAACCATCAAATTAAAAGACACTTGCTGCTTGCAAAAAAAAAACAAAAAACAAAAAACTATGACCCACCTAGACAGCATATTAAAATGCAGAGACATTACTTTGCTGACAAAGGTCAAAGCTATGGTTTTTCCAGTAGTCATGTATGAATGTGAGATTTGGACCATAAAGAAGGCTGAACACCAAAGAACTGATACTTTTAAACTGGGGTGCTGGATAAGACTGTTGAGAGTCCCTTGGACTGCAAGGAGATCAAACCAGTCAATCCTAAAGGAAATCAATCTTGAATATTCTTTAGAAGAACTGACACTGAAGCTGAAGCACCAATACTTTGGCCACCTAATATGAAGAGCTGACTCATTAGAAAAGACCCTGATGCTGGAAAGATTGAAAACAGGAGGTAAAGGGGATGACAGGGGACGAGATGGTTGGATGTCATCACTGACTCAATGGACATGAGTTTCAGCAAGCTTGGGAGATGAAGAGCAGGGTAGTAGCAAGGCATGCTGCAATCCATGGGGTCGCAAAGAGTCAGACAAGACTGAGCAACTAAACAACAACAACAAACCAACCTTTGTTGCTCTAAAAAATAATTGTGTGTGTGCTCAGTTGTGTTCAGGTTTCCGTGGTGGCTCAGATGATAAGTGTCTCCCTGCAATTCAGGAGACCCGGGTTTGATCTCTGGGTCAGGAAGATCCCCTGGAGAAGGAAATGGCAGCTCACTCTAGTATTCTTGCCTGGAAAATCCCATGGATGGAGGAGCCTGGTGGGCTACAGTCCATGTGGTTGTGAAGAGTTGGACACGACTAAGCGACTGCATTTTCACTTTCTTTCAGTTGTGTCCAACTCTTTTGCAACCCCATGAACTGTTGCCCCCCCAGGCTCCTCTGTCTATGGGATTTTCCAGGCAAGAATCCTTGAGTGAGTTCCCATGTCCTTCTTCAGGGGTCTTCCCAACCCAGGGATGGAACACGAATCTCCTGTATCTTTTGGTCAGGCAGGTTCTTGACCAATATACTTCAATTTAAAAAGGAGATTGTGAAACTTTGAATGATACTCACCTTTTACGAAATTTCAGTATGTCACAGCACAGTTTTTTTTTCACCCATCATTTTCTAAGATTATTTAAAATCAACCTATTTATATGAGACTGACTGGTGTTTGTGAAATGCCTGTACAGGGAAACTGAAGTTTAGAGAGAGATGAGTGAAAGTCACTTAGTCATGTCCGACTCTTTGTGACCCCAAGGACTATTACAGTCCATGCAATTCTCCAGGCCAGGATACTGGAGTGGGTAGCCTTTCCCTTCTTCAGGGAAACTTCCCAACCCAGGGATCAAACCCAGGTCTCCCGCATTACAGGTGGATCTTTACCAGCTGAGCCACAAGAGAAGCCCAAGAGCCTAGAATAATGTCACAAAGAAAGCTGACACCGAGTAGAGATGTGATTCAGATGTTGAAATGCCAAGTATTCTTGCGTGTGTGTGTGTCTGTATGCATACACTAACCTTAAGGATTAGCTCGTTCAATCTCTACATACATAGCTAACTCGGACACTTTCTTCCAGAACCCTGATTTAGAACATTTCTCCTCCCCAAGAATGTTTTCCCACACACTGCCCCAGTCAATGCCCACCCACAGAGGTAGCCACTCCCTTTGACTATTCACTCTAAACTTGTTCTTGATCTTCATGTACATAGACTCATATCACATGAACATCTGACTTCTTTTTAATATCTGTTTTTCTGGAGTCTGAAAAAAATTTTTTTTTTAAATTTTTAGCTATGCTGAGTCTTTGCTTTTGCTCGGGCTTTTCTCTAGTTGCCAAAAGCAGAGACCACTCTCCAGGTGCAGTGCTGGGGCTTCTCACTGAAGTGGCATCTCCTATTGCAGAGCTCGGGCTCCAGGGCGCGTGGGTTCAGTAGGTGGGGTATCGGGCTCTAGGGCCCAAGCTCAATAGTTGTGGCACATGGGCTTAGCTGTCTGAGGCATGTGGGATCTTCCCAGACCAGAGATCAAACTCCTGTCTCTTGCATTGGCAGGCACATTCTTTATCACTGAGCCACCAGGGAAGCCCGAACATCTGACTTCTTTCACTCAAGATAATTGTTGGTACACAACGTCCTCAGGAATTGGCTGGATATAATATGAAACTGGACTCCACATACAGAGGACAGGGATAGACCAGTAAGAAAGAGGCAGACCATTCCAGATTGGTAGGTGGCAGGTTTAATAAGCAAGGGAGGGGCTCTGCCGGTGGCTCAGCGGTAAAGACTCTGCTTACTAACCCAGGAAACATGGGTCCGACCCCTGATCACGGGGGATCCCACATACTGAGGAACAATTAAACCCATGAGCCACAACTACTGAGCCTGTGATCTGGAGCCTGGGAACTGAAACGATTGAAACCCACATGCCCTAGAGCCTGTGATCAGCAACAAGAGAAGCCAATGCAATGAGAAACCCGTATACTGCAATGAGAAAGCCGACACAGCAACAGAGACCCAGCACATACCAAAATAAATCAATAAAATTTTTAAAAATAAGCAAGGGAACTTACTCATGAGGTCTGTCTTAGGCAGCCACAAGACGAGTAGCTTTGTGTACTTGCCCACCCCATCTTAAAAGTTTTTATAGAGACTTTACCTGGTTTGAAACATGTACAGGATCCCCATTGTTTCAATACCACATTACAGTCTCAAGGCTCTATCCTTGGGCAGCTTCTGGTGCAGGGAAGTCAAGTGGAACACACTCCTTATATGAACATATAAGGGGGATGGGTCAGGTGCCTCCATTTGCCTAGATCCAGCTCACAGGTCAGTGATTCAATGAGTCAAACCTCCATGACTTTCCCCAACAATAACTGGGGGGAGATTCATTCATGATGTTGTGTATGTACAGATATATATTGCTGTGTGTCTCTAAGGATCTCATGATTTGTTCATCTATTCTATTAGTAATCTTTAAACTATAGTATGCAAATATAGTATCAGTGACATATTAAAATCTTCCTGTGCTTCCCATTGTGGGTGCATGCTAAGTCATGTCTGACTTTTTGCAACCCCATGGACTGTAACCCACCGAGCTCCTCTATCCATGAGATTCTCTAAACAAGAATACTTGACTGGGTTGCCTTTTCCTTCTCAGGGAACTCATGGATTGAACCCATGGATTGAACCAACCATGGTTCAATTGGATTGGATCCCAACCCAAGGACTGAACCCATGTCTCTGGCATCTCTCTCAATGACAGGCAGATTCTTTAGTCTATAATAACCGAGGGAAAGAACAGTGGTTTCCTCTTCCTTAGTTAGGGCTTTGCTATTGGTCCAGTGACTAGTTCACAGGAACTTTAAAATACATATTTGATTAATGAATATAATAACTAATTTATTAAAATAATCCATTGATTTTTAAAGGGCACTTTCTAGGAATTGGTTTTTTTTCCATTTTTATGATGATCAAGAAGGTTGGAAAATAACTATTGATTTTTCATGATCCAATTTTTCTCTTTAAGATGATCTACCTCATCAGAAATCCCAGAGATGTTTTAGTGTCTGGTTATTTTTTCTGGAGGAGTGCAAAATTGGTTAAGAAACCACAGTCACTGGAACAATACTTTGAATGGTTCGTCCAAGGAAATGGTGAGTGAATGTAAAATATGAAAGCTGGGAGTTGTCAGAGTCCTTCATCAGACCTCTTTTCATTTTTTTACCCAACTTGATGTCTCTACATCTAACCAATGCATTGGTATAGGGTTTCATCACCACTGGAACCCAAATTTTCTAAAGCCACATACTATCTTATAAAGCAGAAGAGCTTCAACCAGCCCTTTTGTTTGCCCCATCAGAAACTATCCTAGCTATTTTCTGAGTCTCCATGACCTAATACTACTACAAAGCACTCATATTCTTCTCCTGTACTCTCCTAAATTTGTGAAAGTCACGAGACTTTCTGAAAGGCAGCTTTCGTTGGCCTCCTGGACAACACAGTCCTGACTTTCCACCATTTACGTGTGCATCTTTCAAAAAGTCCCTTAATTCTCTTGTCCTCTGTGTCTAAAAACTGTATGCATTACCCTGGGACTTTATGGGCTTCCCAGGTGGCTCAGTAGGTAAAGAATCTGGCTGTAATACAGGAGATGCAGGAGATACAGTTTCTGTCCCTGGGTCGGGAAGATCTCCTGGAGGAGGGCATGACAACCCACTCCAGTATTCTAGTCAGGAAAATCCCGTGGACAGAGGAGCCTGGCAGGCTACAGTCCCTGGGGTCGCAGAGACTCGGACAGGACTGTAGTGACTTAGCACGCACGCACCCAGGACCTCTATACTTTTTTAAAGTTAATCATTTATTTATTTGGCTGTATCAGGTCTTAGATGTGGAATGTGAAATCTCCCATCTTAGTTGTGGCAGGCAGATTCTTCCAACTTAGTTGTGGTTGGGGGTTCTTTCATTGCAGCATGTGGGATCTAGTTCCCTGACCAGGGGTAGAACCCTGGCCCCCTGAATCGGAGCACAGAGACTTAGCCACTGGGCCACCAGGGAAAGCCCTCTATGCTTTTAATTACGCAGAACTTCTAAGCATTCTCAGATACTTGAAGTGTTGCAGTTTTTCTAAAAACTGTGATGAATCTAGTATCACACTGAGGTCATATTTTTTATTGAGCTGATCCTAAGTGAACTCTTGCCGTATTTCCTGCTGTGCTTCAAGCTACTCTTTCAGAAAAAGAGCAGCAGGAGTTCCCTGGTGGTCCAGTGGTCCAGAATCTGCCTGCCAATGCAGGGAACATGGCTTCAACCCCTGGTCTGGGAAAATCTCACATGCCATGGGGCAACGAAGTGTGTGCACTGCAATACTGAAGCTATTTCCTGCCTTGGGATACCGAGTCGGTTTCCCAAGAAATAATTCCAACAGCAACAATGAAGGAAAGATGACAGAGAGGGGGAAAAAAGTATTGTCAGAATGTACCTAACAGGCAAAAATATCTAAAGGCTGAACATATTAGCCGCCCCCTCCCCCCGCCCAAAAAATGCCACTTCTCAGACCACATGATTCACTGGAAAAGATTTCCTTACAGACCCTGGAAAACTTATACAAAACCTGCTCCAAAGGCATTAGGCTTGTTAAAGGGCAAATGCATGGTGGTGGATACCAGTTATAACAAGCGTTAAATGTGCCCGGCATTATGGTAGCAAGTGAGCCCCCAGAGTGAACTCAGTGTGTGGACCCCTGCTTTCATTCCACGTGTCATCTCCTCACTCTTTCTGCCTCCCCTCCATGCAGTGGTATTTGGATCGTGGTTCGACCACACTCGGGGCTGGATGTCCATGAGAGACAAGGAGAATTTCCTGATACTGAGCTATGAAGAGATGAAATGGGTAACTCTTGTTCTTAGAGTCAGCACCACCATCTTAGAGTCAGTCTCTCACCACCATCTGCAGTCCCCCCACCTTCCCTCCATTCCCCTGTGTCTCCCACCTTCTCAAAGTTTAGCCTGCAGTCAATAGGAGTGAGAATAGCAATACCTGGTCTTCATTGCCTTATTTCTGGTTGACACTTCAAATTTCCCTGCTCTCTTTCTGCATGTGGTTTTCTGTTTCACCGTAAGGTGAAGGGCTTTTTTTAAGAAAGAATTTTATTTATGTATTGGCTGTGCTGGATCTTCACGGCTGTCCTCAGGCTTTCTCTAGCTGCGGTAAGTGGGGGGTACTCTTTGTTGTGGTGTGTGGGCTTCTCACTGCGGTGGCTTCTCTCGTTGTGGAGCACAGGCTCCAGGTATGCAGGCTGAGCAGTTGCGGTGCCTGGATTCTAGAGCACAGGCGCAATAGTTATGCCATATGGGTGAGCTGCTCCAAGGTACATGGGATCTTCCCGGACCAGGGATCGAACCCACGTCTCCTGCACTGGCAGGCAGAATCTTTTCCACTGAGCCATCAGGGAAGCCCTTTCTTTTGTTTTCATTAGGATTTTTGTTTTGTTTTGTCCCACGTTGTTGTTGTTGTTTTAGTATTTTTTTTTCAGGTGTGTGATTTCTTGGTAGACCATACTAAATGCTCATGAAATAAAGAAAAAAATTACAGCATTATAGCTCTAACAGGAAAGTCTGATTCAAAGCAAAGCCATTCTGGTTATAAAATCCATTTTCTTATCATAATCTCTGAAGATCATGAGCCAAGTTTTGACATAACAAATAAGATACGGTAAAGCTATCTTGTGATAGCTGTGAAAAACAGCATTATTTGGGCACATAGCCAAGACTTGAAATCAAATCCCTATATTATTGTCAGGTTCTCCCTGAAACTCTCTTGCCTAATCTTGATCATAATTGTCTAGAAGCCCTTCCTAAGTCTCTTTAGAAACCCAGCATTTTGCTGTTTTAAGGTGTCCTGAATTCAACTATACTGAGAAATCCATCATGGTCCTTTCATCTATTTTTTTCAACCTTTCTCTAAATCATTTTTAAATTTCTCAAAAATTTTATTGAAGTATAGTTCCTTACAGAGTATATAGTTTCTACTGTACAGTAAAGTGAGTCAGCTATACCTAGGCATATACTCCTCTTTTTTTTTTTTTTTTAAATTTCCTTCCCGTTTAGGTCACCTCAGAGCATTGACAGGAGTTCTCTGTGCCACACAGTAGGTTCTC